ATATACAGTAAACGCTACATAGCAAAAACCTTTAAATTGTTTTAGGCTTACACATATATTACTTGCTAGTATGCTGCAGTATATAGTTTATTTATATTAGTTATTATAACTACAGCATATTATTAATATTGAATTTATTGATTGAATAAAATACACTAAACTTGGTATTAATAGTATAAACAAATGGACGATGATCAGTCATTTCAAACTTCTGATCTAGATGATCCTGATCAACATAATATTTCGGATTCGGGTATTTCAACACTTGATAATTCAGTAAATGAGGAAAATAATGAACCTGTGCCTGAACAATATTACGATACCTACGAATACCAAACTGATCAAAGTGATAATATCCAGGACAGTCTACTGTAAGTATGATAAAATATTACAATTACCGGTAGTGTATTTATTAAATAACCGTATATATTTTATTAGAAGATGCTTACACGACCCTGATTATCATGGTAAGCTTAAAAATTTATAAAACCACAATTAATTTTTTTTGTCTTAGATGACTTTAACCGGCTATTTAATCTAGAATTGAGTGACACCAATAATGACATGTAAGTAATTAAATTAAATGTTGCATTTATAACTTGCATGCTTTCGTGTAAAAACGACCAGTGTGGTTGTAGTAAAAATTTGATATGTTTTTAATATTTGTAGATAAATTAAGTCGCTTTTTATTTTTCAGTTCAAGTAATTACGTCGCTAGCAGTGGGGCCATTGGTAGTCATGTAAGTTATATATTTCTATTTATCTTGCTTGATGATCTAACTTAAATATTTTAAGGATATTTGCGTATTATGTGAAATACCGTTGGAAATTGAAATGCGCACATTATTAGCAGCCTGCCCATCGTGCAATAACGTTTATTGTGCCAATTGCGGCAATGAATACCATGGTGCTTGCCAAGTTTTCATTGAACCCAGCTATGGATTGGTATGCGAAAGTCAAACCAGTGGTGACGCTGATATGTATAAACGGGAATATGATAGATATAAATTGGAGTCTTTGGAACTCGAGAAATGTGCACTTGAACACAGGGAAAGTATATAAAAATATCTTGATTAATTTAAATGTATTCAAAAAATCGTTTTGAAGGGGAACGTGAGAAACGTAAGGAACGGGAAGATCGGGAAGTACGGGAACGTAAGGAACTGGAAGAAAGGGAACGTAAGGAACGGGAACTACGGGAAGAACGGGAACGTAAGGAACAAGAGGAACGGGAGATCAAGAAACGAGATGTAGAAAAGAGAAAAATGCAAAAGTTACAAGATGATAAGGCATCGGAGGAGTTGATTAAAAATTTATTCAAAAATTGTCCTAGTTGCAAAAGACCCATTGAGGTATAAACATTTAATTAATTTATGCACAAAGATTTGTGTTTAGAATATTTTATTCCTTATTTCATTCATTACCATAATTGATTTTTAATTATATAATTTATCAAAGTAATAATTAACATTTCTATGTAATTGTACAGGGTAGCCTTTAATTAACGATACCATTTTGATTCTCGTTTATTTGAACACCCTGTATTATTTTTAATTGATTCCTTCACCAAATTATAGA